TTCATATTTCTAAATGAAAAAAATTAATTCTTAACTACCACCAAATATGTCAGCCCATGGTAAAGCAGTCTAAATTATGCTTTATCCAACCCCGGGGGTTCAAGCTCCAGGGTCCTGCATAAATTCTCAGTGACAGCAAGAGGAATGGTTGTCATCCTGCGGGGGGAAGGCTAAAGAAATGAGCTCTGTCTTTTGTAATACATCATCCCCCTGCTGTTGTCACAGAGCATAAATAATGGAGTGAGGGCTTCCCTCCTCGGCTCTGAGGTATGTCTCTCTCCCTCTGTCTTGGCAGGCTTCTATCCCGTCAACCACACAGACTGTCTGCAGTCTTACTTGCACCATTGTTTCGATGGCATCACAGGAGAATTGGCGCACGCATTCTTCCCGTCAACAGGCGAGATCCACTTCGACGACCACGAGTACTGGATTCTAGGAAACATGCGCTTTAGCTGGAAGAAAGGCATGTGTCTCCATTATGTTCAAACTGCTAATATTTAACCTGTAAGGTGATTGACGCAGAAAATAACCAAAAGTATCCATGTTGCAGGTGTTTGGCTGACGGATCTTGTCCATGTGGCAACTCATGAAATTGGCCACGTACTGGGACTCATGCACTCATTGAACCCTAAATCCATAATGCACCTGAATGCAACTCTGACTGGGCGCAAGCTCATCACACAGGATGAGGTGTGGGGTATTCACCGCCTCTACGGTAAGTTCACACTTTTCTTCCAGAACACAAATAGAAAAGCTCTTCAAGTCAAAGGCAAATGGAGATATTTGGTCGTGAAGACATTTTGTAATTCATCCAAAAGGTGAAAAACATGCTCAAGACCTAAAGAAACAAAACAACTTCTCATGCTGGGATCAGACTAATCTCTACGAGATATATTAACGGATATCCGTTAGAAATATGTATCAGAGGCATTCTATTTTCGGTTTTGTAGAATCGACCAATCAATTTTGAGCAGACGCAGCCCGTAAACAGTACGTATGGAGAGCAAAAATGGCAGTCTGCCCTGCCGTGGAGTGCATTGGTCGAAATGCCAATTCGATAAAAAATGTCAGACTCAGTTTAAACTGGGAACTTGTGAAAGAATCAAATTCTTAGATAGTTTATCTTAACTCGAGCTAAACTATTGCGTCTCAGGTTGCTAATCAACAATATGCCCAGAAACAACACCCAAAATATTTGCCCTTCCCCAGATGCTTATCGTCGTCAGGTCCATTGCCAATGGCTTCTTAGAGCAGCCCACCCTGACAGAGCAATGGTGCATCATATTAAAAGTTTCACAGCAGTTTGACTACTGGGCGTTAGACCTTTAACATGCCAATCGAAACAGGAATGATGTTGTTGATGCTATTAGCTAACAGTGAGGTCAGTCTCTGGCACTTCCTTTCCATTCTCCTGCTCATTAGAGTCATGAAAGACGGTAAGCTATGACTGTCTTCCAGCAAAGTCAGGGCAAGGATTCAAGCATTTAAGTAATCCCCCTCAAATGGCAAAATGATAATAAATACATGTGGTCCAATCCCGGCATTAGAAATGTACATCTTATGCAGCTAAAGAACTAGCTGTACAAATCAGTTATTCCATTTTTGCCCACAACCAACCAGAATTTAGACCACAGTGTTTGCTTCTGACGACTGACACTGAATTGGCATTAATGAATGTTGTATAAAAGTACTCTCGAGTCATTATGGTGAGTAATTTTCAATGGAACAAAAAGTAGATTAGAGACTTGCTGACTTGTCTGATCCTCCTACCCCCCCCCTCTCTTCCAGGATGTTTGGACCGGTTATTTATCTGTCCTGCCTGGGCTCGGAAAGGCTATTGCGACAGTAAGCGCAGGCTGATGCAGAAGCACTGCCCCTCCAGCTGTGATTTCTGTTACGGTAAGAGACAGCAGCAGTCAAACAGAGAGTTTTCCCTCAATTGAGCAGCTCTACGAGCTGCTGTGAAGCGTTTGCCAATGGAGCAACGGGGTCCAACAGGTTTAGCCACGCAGAGCAGCGGTGGGGGTTGCAATATTTGAAAGGAGATTACACTTGCTCTTGGAGGAGATTCTGTTAAATCCTGGAGTACACCATCATCTCCAGGGAGAAAATGTTGGTTTTAGAGCAAGTATCTTTTAATTGCTGCCAATATTGATAACCCATCAACTGTCTGACAGCATAAACTAGAATATATGTATTGTGGGTTGCACAGGCCTCCAGTTGCACAACAGGAAATGGCTCCTTTAAAACAATCCCGGCCAATGGATTGTTGTGGCTTTTTGGAGATTTTTGTCAGCAACAAGGGACAGTGCGGGGAGAGGCAAGAGGATACGATTCCTGGCTCACAGTAATCTGTTCCTCGTTGTTGATTGGGAGACGTTGTACGGCTGTGGAAAATTCCTGAGTGACTCCAAACCGCTGGAATTTCAGACTGTGGCTTGAGGGTTAGAGACACACAAGGTCAATTTGGATTTTTGTGGCATTATCAAGAGCAAATGTTTTTAAAGCTGACTTTGTGTTTGTAAGAAACCAGATGGGAGAGATTATATTGATAAGACGACCGCAGGTAAGGCATTGTGAAAAGCACAGTGTTTCACGTGATCACGTTTGTATCACATTTTTGGACCGAGTTTCGGTGAGGGAAAGTTGTCACATCTCCAGACGACGGAGTACACAGAGGTGCAGGATAATCCTTTTTTGATTACTCTCAAGATGATTGGTCAGGATCATTTTAAGATCATCAAGACTGATGTTTTTGTGTCTTTTTTTGAAGCATCGGCTTAAGTGTTTCTCTCTTCAGAATTTCCTTTCCCCACTGTGGCTCCCACCCCGGCGGCACGGAGGACCAAACACAAGCTGGTGGTTGAGGGCAAGAAACTCACTTTTCGTTGTGGGAAGAAAATAGCATCGAAGAAAGGACAAGTATAGTGAGTATTTGTTTTCTGTCCACCTCACCTAACCTATAATATAAAAGAATGAGCGCCATCTAACACCTTTCTCCTGTTTCAGCTGGTACAAGGACGGGGAGCTGCTGGAGTTCTCTCACCCAAACTACATTTCCTTGAAAGACGACCACATCACGATAGTGGCCAACGCCATCAACGAAGGCACGTACACCTGCGTTGTGAAGAAAAAGGACAAAGTTCTCACAAACTACTCGTGGAGAGTGCGTGTGCGCTTCTAAAGGCCTCCGCGCACACAAGGAGACTTCACTCACTAGGGCACATATTTCTTCTGTATCTTTCACATACAACTGTCTATTGTCAATGTGTGAACTGGTTTTGTGAAAAGAATAAAAGTTCTGTGACAAGTAGTTCTGGTTTGCATTTTGTTCGAGGATATAAAAGATTCAAACAGCGCTTGTCAGTTGTTTGGGAAAATAGTCTACTCTGGGGTTTATGAGGAGGGGTTTAACATGCATTTTATTTCTGAAACTAGCTTTTTTTCTAGTACCTCGATTTGGTGCCATAAGATGGTTAGCCAGGATTTCTTCAAAGCTCTTGCTTCCAAAACGGCATTCACATGAGCGCAGAGCCTTGCCGTAAAAACAACATCTGATTGGTTTCACAACAAAAGGTCAGCAGCAAACAAGGTCAAAGTATAAATAAATTGTATTTCGAGCGCAATGAAAGGCAACAATTTTGCAGAGGCTCTCGCCATAGAAACACAATGGCAACTTCAGCGCAGAGACGTTTTGTTTCGTAACATTTTAATGCCGCTTAAGGCAGTTATGGTCCAAGGCCAACCAGGGGTTCTTGGAGTGACCAAGCAAAACGGGAACTAATTAGATGTTACTGTAGCTAAGTTCAGAAGATATAAACCGAGTTGGAGAATATATAGAGTGGTGCATTGATAACGTTTTTTTGTAAACCGACCCAGATTTGCAAATGGGTACCTTGACAATAAGCAATGGGATATTTTTCAGCAGGATAATCTCCACATATCAACACCACTTTGTGATGTTGACAGCGTCAATGCAATCACCAGAAGTTAAATCTATCGTTAGGCTATAAACGCACTAAATCAGTCGCAGGGCGTCACAACCGCTGAGCTAAAAGCGACTCGTTTGGCGTGATCACATTAAATAGTCCCGCCAATTATAAGACACATACATGTAGAATATTACTGACATTTTATGTTGTAGAGCAAAACATGAAACCCTCTTCTTCGAGCATCTAGTCAAAAACAATTAATTTCTGAACCACTATATGAGAATATTCTAAAATACAGTGAACACACAATCTTTAGCTAAATGGTCCCAGAGAAAATGTTGCAACAAAAAAAAAAAACAGGTCTGTTTCTGTTAAGGAGCTTAAAGAAAGTTACAGAAGCCCTTGCCTTATGAATAATTTATGCACTGACCAAACTACACTTCCTCAGCCAGAATAAGCAGCGCTGTCTACAGCTTTTGGAACCATTTGGACCTTAAACCACATATGGAACACCTCAGACGTCTAGCTTACTTTACTAGCCTCACAGTGAAGCCAGCAGTCTGCCTCCAGAGATCCAGAGCAGTCGATTCCACTAGCAGCTCTCCTTCCAAGATTATTCAACACATCAGGTGTAATAATCTGCAGAAGGGGATAGATAAAACTGATTCATGAACATTTCTATTTAGAGCTGGCTCTATACATCCCAAGACAATGGGTTTGTTTTTCTGCGAAAGCAGCGAGCGGACTGTAATGTACGGTTTATTTTCCTTCGGCTCAAAATCAAAGAATTTATTGGTTTAATTCTCAAGTCGCAGAGCAATTCAAAATTCAAACAGGCAGAGTGAAGTCTGGGTCTCTTTCCCCTGAAAGAACAAAGTACTGAGACAAAGTGTGCAGTGCAAAGAATGACATCACTGTTGGACAGCGACTACCGAGTTGGGTTCAAGTATGGATTTTTTTTTTGTAGGGCTCGACTTCCCTTCGTTTTTTTTTCTGTTTTGGAAGCGTGCGGTTCTGTTTGGATAGCTTGGACAGGGTTTATAAATATATGGAAAGCGTCAGACAAAACAAAGTTTCAAACTTTATTTTGAGCAATAACATCGCCCCCGTCATGGAGTGACATTGACAGTACATTTCTAACATAATGCTGGATGAAAGCATCGTTATACAGTAGCTCAGGCAGCCAGGAAATACCAACCATTTAGAAAAGCTGGTCCTCATGAAGTATAAAAAGGGAAAATAAAAAAAAACATGAGAGCTAAACTTCTAAAAGGTGAATGGTTGTGTCTCCTGTAAAGAGCTAAAATAACCACGTTTAAAATGGTGAAATGGTTTTAAAAAAAACATAGAAGCCGAAAAGGTTGCAGGGACATTTCTGGAGATTCAACATGTTTGAGCCACCAGTCTTGCTGTGAGACAGTCCTGACTATCTGGTAACAGTTGTAACCGGTCAGATTTCGCTCTGGTTCACAGATGTAAACCAGCGACACTGTCCAATTCCAAAAGAAGAAACAATTCACAGAACTTTCTTTGCTCTCGCTCTGTCAGACAGCCAGGTGTCCAGCTGTTTCTGGGCTCAGAATTTGAGGCTGAATCCAGGACCGACTGCAGACACCCCCTGGTTGCTGGTCGTCAGATGGAAGCCTGTGTCTTTGAGGTCATCGTCACCCTGGAGAGAAACAAAGATTGCTCCTGGTTAATCAAGTTGTATCACTCTTCTGATATAATTTCCTCTATATTTTATATTATAACCTCAACCTGAATGATTCTTATGATACATTTTGATTGTATTTTATTAATTGAAATATTCCTTTTCGGTGTTTCAGTTTACAAGCAAGCTTTTCCACATTTGAAAAGAAAAAAGCTGGGCTAAACAACCAATACCGTTGCATTAAAATGTGAATGAAAATATCTCCTGTAACTGTCATTGAAAGTATAAGCCTTTAGCTTCTGGGTGGGTAGGACCACTGCTGAAAAAATTAGGGCCCCAACGGTAGCTCATCATGGAAAACATAAGGAGGAAATACGCGGACACAAAGCAGAAGCCTGTAGGTCTGTAATCTATTTAACACAGACAGCGTACGGAAAGACTGGTAGCTGTGTGTAATGGAGAAAGTGGAGCCTTAATGTCCTTACCAGGTGACTGTAGCCCAGGCCTCCCTCGGGTGGGCGAGGGCTGGTGCCTCTCTTCACCCTCTGCTGCTCGCTCTTGGCGGGCCAGGTGGGGAACATGGACGGGTCGATGGGCAGCGGCGTCTCGCGGAGGTACTCGTGTTTGAGCCCCTCGTCCGATAAAATCCTCTTACTGGGGCAGTAGGTGAGGAATCTGGAAACAGACGAAGAATTCATATTTAGATGCTAATGCCTTTAAGCAGGAAGCTAGTTTGTGTCAAAAGATCAGACGCAGGTACGTGTAGGCACTGCTGGAGAACTCAGATTTTTTTGTCCAATTTAGCATGCACTGAGGAACTGATTAATTTAAACACTTGTACATCCACAAACGAGGCAAATGTTCCCTTTACTAATCAGCTTGATTGACTTAATCTAAACAGAGAATCCCGTCATGAGCTGCAGACCTGTCACGAGGAGCCAGTGAAAATGGTGCACGTAGTCTTAACTGGATATGACAGGATCAACACAGAATAATGAGGAGCTGTTTAATCGTAATAATTAGCTTTCTAATTCTGTCTGATTGAAATCTTCAATGTAAAAAAATGTTTTGATAACAAATTCTCAGCTTTCCGACACATGATGGCAAATACTATCATTGAAAGGGATGATCCAGCACTTGTTATTGTTTAGGAACTCAAAGAATGTGTGCTCTTCCTGCACCTGTGAATGTACTCATCCTCCGCACTCAGGACCAAAGAGCCCTGCTGGTTTTAAGAGCCGTACAGACCGGTTTTAACTGGGATATGAACCAGCAGTATTCTGGACTTCTATCTAACTAACTTTTTATTTTAAGTCAAGCTAGATTCAGCAAATCATGTGCATGTTGAGGCCCTTCTTCAGGTTACTTAAGGCCCCATTCCTCAAACACTTCCCGACACAGTGGGGTGTGATATTCCGAACAGCTCTGCGATATCTACCTGCCAAAATATTCCTCTAAACTGATCCTGCGGCGCTCTGTGTGAAGCTTTCAAACCGCACTCCTCTACGTGTTGACCTCCTGAGGTCTGTCTCTGGGTAAACGCCTTGTGAGTCCAACAGCTGGAAGCTTTCAGCTGCGTTGGACGGGTGCCAGACTTCCACTGAACCGCGCTGCTGCCATCCTCTGCAGCTGCGAGGTAACCGAGCGGTATGCTTTTCATTTACAGGTGCAGGCAGGAGGCTCTGTGGGTGGGTGAGGAGCTCGGAAGACAGCTGATAAACAATGCTGATCTTTGGAATGTGCGAGAAACAATTATGAACCCAGTCGTCTGTGTGTTTTATAAAACATTTTCTAGCAGTGGTGGACCTTCACAGTGGCTTGTGTGTGGAACGGGCCTGCTGCTGAGGCACGGTGATGAATTACTAGTCTGCTACCGTTGTCATGTTTTAATTCAGCTTGCCAGAAATGCACTCGATGAAAAAAAGAAAAAAAGGTGGAATAAGACCCAGGATTTGATGGATAGCAATGGGTTCATCCAAGTAAGGCAATTTCCTCTGGAGGACTAATTGTAACTGATACTAGGGTTTGAAAATTGCAGTTGACATTTGTCTGTGTTTCATAAATAATGAATGGAAACAACATAGATATTCCTGAAAACAAACTCTCTTCTTGCAACTTGAAAATGTATGTTGACTAACAAGACTTTATAAAATAAGAAAGAGTTTAAGGGTTAGGGTTAGTCCAAATGGATCAATGCGTGGAGCTCCTCACACACACACACACTCTCTAAGCGGCGAAACTGTGACACGCTGGGGGGGGGGGGGGGGTGCTAGTGGAGCCTCGCAGCAGCAAAACTGTGGCGCGCTTACACTGTAGGTGTGCCGCGTTTGGGGTGCTAGTGGATGGGGGTGCTAGTGGATGGGGGTGCTGCAGCCCCCTCAGCACCCCCCCCCCTTCCCGCGTCCATTCGTGATGTCTCGCTGTCTCGAAGACCCCACGCAGGAGCTCCAACAAGCCGTTTAGGACAGAGAGTGAATACACATCCTATACAGAGATGCTGTATGAGAAACCAATGTGATTTTGGAAAATTGCACAATATAAATCTATTCTAGTAGACCTCAACAATGGAATTATGATCAGTAGAAATGGCCATGACATGGGACCTTTAATAATATATACATTTTAAAAGTTTAAAAAAAAGATAAATACATTTCTATTTTACTGGAACAAATATGCTACAATGTATACAAACACTTTTATATGTATAATTATATGTTGAACTATTAGTTTTCCATCAGTATCAGTTCATGTTATTTTGTATACTATTCTTGTGTTTGTAGCATTTTGTATATTCTTTAGGTATATAAAAAAGCGCAATGGATTTGCCTCTTCCTGCACTGTGTATCATTTGTTATCCGTCATGTCTGTGTCAAGAGCCAAGTCTAGATATTGTTGTAAAATATTGTTAAAGTGATAACAATAAAGTTCTTAAATTGATACCCTTTATTTGATGTAGTTCCTTCTTTACCCATGATGTGAATGATCGACTTGGCACTGGGTTATTCTAACATATACTTTATTAAGTTAAGTATGTCACAAACCCAGTATCCATACAGTTTCTCAGTCACATGAGCATGCAGCGAGATCAGTTGGAACCCCTCCTCCAGACAGACTGTAGTTTAGTTAAAGGGGCCCTATTATGCTCATTTTAAAAAGCTTCATATTTGTATTTAGTTCCTCTACTGTGACATGCTAGAATTTTCAAAAAGGTCTTTATTTCTCTCGTACTGCCTGTGCTGCAGCACCTCTTTTCACCCTCTGTCTGAAACCAGAGCCCAGTCTGCTCTGATTGGTTAGCTGGCCGGCTCTGTTGTGATTGGTCAACTGCTTAGAGATGTCCTCCTCCTTCGTCACATGCAATGTGTTGGAGATATATCCAATAGAAGCCTGAGTGTTACATCGTGATGTTATTCCGGCAGTGGCTCAGTCAGTAGGGGCTTGGACTGTGAGCCGGTTCAAGTCCCCGCACAGACCTAAATATGGAGAGTGGACTGGCACTTGGAGAGGTCCCAGTTCACCTCATGGGCCCTGCCGTGATGCCCTTGAGCAAGGCACCGGACTCTTGGATTTTAACCTTTGCAGACCATTTACATGTACAAAAACCTATACAACACAATACAGGAAAGGGAAACCCAAAAGAACAGAATAGGGCCCCTTTAAGATGCAGTGCGGCGTGTGTGAGGAGCAATGTTGTGTCTTGTGTGGAATCCTACTTGTTCATGAGGTCAAAGCCTTGATCGGAGAGCAGCGCTCCAAAGCGCTTTCGCAGGTTGTTGTAGGGATACTCTGTGAAAGTCATTTTCTTCACAGCGGGCAGCTCGTTGTAGCCGGGCCAGATCTTCTCGCTGGGTGACCCCAGATCCTGCAGACAGACAGACAACACACAGTCAGCAGACAGCATGATGTTAGCACGAGGGGAGATGGATATGAGATATTCCCATTTTTGGCAAAGGAATTCATCAACCGCAGGCGCGTGGCAATAAACCATTCCTAAGTGAATTTCAATGCTTTAATTCATAACTGGTAAAGGGTGTAGGATGACTTGGGAGGCCTCAATGACATCAGTCCAAAAGGCTGTCATGCTTTAAGCAGACCATAAGCAGGGACTGTCTCCTCCCCTAAACTCTGTGTGTATGTGCTGCAGACTGTAGAGAAAGCTCTGTGTTCAGCTGCCTGCACTTTTGTAGCTTCTACCTGATTCACTGTGGTTTGAAGTTGAGGTTCACTTCTGTTTTCCCGTTTTTGCTTTCACCCATCAGCCTTTTTTTACTTTAAGAGCAGTGTGTTACTGCTGATTCATACCAGACCTCCTGCTGTTCCAGCTTCCCATAAAAGTTTTCCTTTTGCAAGCAGGTAGATTGTTTTTATGGGTAATTAGCGATGCTGTTCTTCAAGGAAAACAGGTCTTATAAACCAGACATGGTCATATTCTGCTCTATTAGGTCAGAGAACTAGTTATTAATATTGCAGGGATGAATAGCACAAACAGTCAGAGTCAGAATACCTTAATTTTCTCACAGAGGGGAAATGTACAAATATACAAGTAGCAGCAACATTGAAAAAGCAGCAGACATCCTCACAGCATGGTTTGGTTTCACTACCTTTCCTGTATTATGAAAAAACCCTCTTTGGTGACCTTTTTCAGTTTCATAAATTCAAGCTTGTTTTAATGAGTCAAAAGCTCCACCCTGTGGCGCACTGCAGAACTCCACGCTCTGACAGGCGACACGCTCAAAAGATTTACAGTCTTTAACCTGTTAAGCACCAAGCCTGTTTTTCATGTTTCAGGCTCGAAAATGACATGCCCAAAACAAATGACTACAACTTAACTTCTAAAAGGGTTATATGAATAATTTCTTTTATCAAAGCAAGGTTACATCTGTGAGTTGGATGTAGAAGTGTCAGAATCAATGTAGATGTTTTTTATTTTAAAGAAAATTCAGATTTTACATAGTAAAAAACTGTAAATTATAGTGTCCGTCCAAAAATTATTTTTTACAGATAGTGAAAACTACCCTTGGATGATGGGTTAGTAGACTAAAAGCTTTAGGAATCCAAAGCACAACATATAATAAGTACCCTGTATCAAGATTGATGCAAAACAAGTGACATTTGACCTTTTTAGAGAGGTTTAGCCAAAACCACCCCACCTCTGAGGTGATTTGGGTGAAAATGTTTTTTTTTACATATCTCTGGCACCCCTTGGTCGATTTTGATGGTTGACACCTCTTTCTGACCGTTAGAGCCAATAGAATCGAAGGGGGAGGCTCCCACACACACACGTTGTGAAGAGAAAAGGTGGGGGCTGCGCGCATGTAATTTTGCAGCAGAGTAGACCGATCTCTCGCTCTGTCATTTGGAAACGAAAAAGCAGTTTTATTGCTTATGGATTATCAGAAATCATTTCAAAGAGGACACAGACACATTGGATTAACCTATGGATTAACTGCAGCATCGTTTATCGTTTTAATGCCATTGAAGACCAGTTTTGACCAAGGTAAGCCATGTTAGCGTTTCTAGCTACCTAGCTCCACATGTTATGATGTACGCTTTCGTTTATAGCGTCGCAAATGTTTATCACTGAGTGTTGAGGTTTTTTTACACAGATTCTGTGTCTCCAGGAGATGCTAATCGAGGGGTTGGCTGTGCATCTAGGATAAGTAATAAGGGAGTTATGAGTGAGTTTAGGTGCAGTTTTAGGTTACATTTTTTCGCTCGTGGCTAATTCAGAGGCTGAGTGTTAGTATTGTGGGGTTTTTTGGGATAAAAAAAAAAAAAAAAGATCAGTTAGCTGAGTTTCTTCCAGTTACATGGATATAAAACATTCATAGTTTATTAAATATTAAGATTCCTTAGACGTTGTTTCCTGCAAATGACGCGTTTATCCGCCCGGTACCGGGGGGGCGGTGCGTAACAGGTTAAACAGAAGGGCTTTACACTTCAGCGTGAGGAATTATTTCATTATATGAGGGCAAATGAGGGGATTTTTACCTTAAATATCTTGTTAATTTGGTCGATTTCAGATTTTCCAGGGAAAAGAGGTTTCTGGGTGAGCAGCTCCCCAAATATGCAGCCCACTGACCACATGTCCACAGCTGTAGAGTACTCCTGTGGAGAGAAGAACAAACACAGTGGCAGACCGCAGAAACACAAAGTAGACAGTCTGCCTGGCCGGCTGCGGCGTCAGAGTTGTGTCTTGTGCGTGTGTGTGTGTGTGTGTGAGTGAGAGTGGATGTGCTCTGACAGACTGCTGGACCTCGAGCGTCTGGTGGTGTAAATCAGGGGTTCCCAACCTTTATTGGGCCAAGGACCGGCAGATACATAAAAATCGCGGACCGGTTGTCAATTTTAACTGATTTTAATATTTACTCACCAGCAGGTAGCAACAGAGGCTAATTGTATGTAACAGCCTGAACAAATACTAGAACAATATACATCCAAAACATATTAAAGTCGTTTTTTTTTGTTTTTTGGAAAAACGGAAAACAAAAAAAACGGCACAGCTCTTTACGCGCTGGTGCTGCACTTCTCAGAGGCGGAGTACACGTCCCGCTGCCTCCTGGTGCTGCAGCCATTTCATGAAGTGAAGGAGGTTTTCCTTCTATAAAACAGCTGCGGGCAGCAGATACCGTGAGAGTCCCGGACATTAATTCATAGATCAAGGCAGACTGATTTACAGACTCTCCTTTTTTTTTGCCAATCCGGTGCTTAAACAAATAGCTCTACACCCCTGGCCGACATGTCCTTAAAATGAAGTCCGAGTTTGAAATATATCTCAAATAATGTATGCACTGCCATTTCCCCACATAAACATAACAGTCTGCAATGAAACGGTTGTTTCCTGTGCGCTCCACTTCCTACTTGGCACACCGGTAACTTTCTCGTGCGAACGAGAGGCTGAGACCTTAGGCTGAGCCGCCGAATCCCTCGGAACACCATAAAAGCCATTTTCAACTGTTTTCTGGTGGACCTTTAACTAGGCTACTGGATGAAATAATATGACTGGTATAGGTGCGAAAATAAAAAAAAACATGATAAAATATTTTTATATATTTATAATTCTGCAAATATTACGATAAATTCACAGCTATTTCGCGGCCCGGCAGTAACACCTCCGCGGCCCGGTACCGGTCCGCGGCCCGGGGGTTGGGAACCTCTGGTGTAAATCATATACTGTAAAACTCAAATGGTGTTTCAGTGGTATTTGGATCTCATAAACGTTTCTTCTCTTGGAAATATATCACTGGGCAAACCACAATCAATCACGATGGTGTGACCACATATATGAAAAGTATTGCAAAGGTATTTCTTATGAAGTGTGGATGCAGTACAGTTGAATTCTCACCTTGGCTCCGAGCAGCAGCTCCGGTGATCGGTACCACAGGGTCACCACTACGGGGGTGTAGGGCTTCAAGGGGGAGCCGTACTCCCGGGCCAAACCAAAGTCGCCAATCTACATGACAGGTCAGATGCCCACCATTAAAAACTTTTTTTTTTAAACTCCAAATGGTGTCAATTTCACAGCCCTCTGATGTCTCATACAGAGTTCCCGTTAGCCGGTAATTACCGGACAATGACCGGTAAAATATGCTGAAGTCCGGCAAATCTAAATCTCTCCGGTCAAAATGTCCGGTCAAAATAATTTTCCCTTAGCGCAATACCGCATCAGTTGCGCCACTTATGTGACAGACAAGAATAGTATGTGACAGACAAAAGAGTATGTGACAGACAAAAATTGTCAATTCTAATGTCTAACACTTAATGTGGAGAAAGAGATGTCCTGTATGGGTTGATTGTGCGTTGATCTGTTGGTAATGCCTCGGGGTTCCGGTGGGCATGTAAACAAATGCATAATGCTGCGCTATACTTTGTGGCCTCATCCGGTTGCATAGCGACGCTTATTGTTTAGGTGTCTTTTAACAAGCAGGTAGTCATATCATTAGCTAGAACTAGCTAGATCTGATCGATATGGACATAAATGCGAGTAAAGTCTAATCTGACAGGAGAGAGAGATCGGCTGCTGCTGACGAGTCGACACGCAGCTCTGCATGATCCCCTGCAGCGGCGAGCAGAGCAAAACACACTTCAGGTTAGAAAATCACACGTAGCTATTTTAATTACCTCTCAAACTACCTAAACTAGTTATAGATATGTTTAGTTTTACTGTCGGGTCACTCATTACTGGATCCGCGAGCTGCATGATACTGACGGGCTGTCAGGAGAAGGAGAGAGCGCTCCGTTTATTATTCCCGCGTTTTTGTAAATTACTGTACACTTTTGAATAATGTAGTTAATCTACTATAATTAGTTTGTTTAATGTCGAATCATATCAATTTGTTTTAAAGCTCAATAAATAACAAAGAAGACCTTTAACCGGCACTTATCTAATTTTGTCCGGAAGATTTCAACTTTAACGGACATGTTGACCGGCAAAAAAATATTCTAACGGGAACTCTGGTCTCATAGGTATACTCTGGTACAACAAGATGCAGTGATTCACATTTTCTTGTCAGCTTGCATACATAACTGACAAATGTCGTTTATATAAACATGCCTTACATTTTGCCAAACATTCATGCTCAGATTGACTTATAGTCAACATGTGTTGTTTGTGCAAGTGTGCTCCCGCTCTGGAAAGAGTTGCACATCAAAAGATGGATTAAAGTACTCCTTTCACAAGTTTATTTACTCTATCAAAATATACCATATTTATTTATGGATAAGCTTTTTTCCCCAGGTAATTTAAATTATAATCCATGGCTAGAACCGGTGGACTTCTGCAGTGTTCTTACGGTTTCAATGCTTGTCTATTTACACAAGTTTCACACAAAGATCTCCTAAAATAAACGCCCTTTTTGCCTCAAACTTTCACAGGACAGCTTGTTAAAAAAAGGAAATAAAAAAAACATGCATTTTCATTACTATCTGCTATATTGCTAATCTCAAATGTTATAAAGACATGTGACAACTGTATACACAGTGGCCTTATCCTGGTGGCTAGGGTCTGTGATGTTAAAATAACCAACATCAATCAACAGTCCTTGCTGTTGGACATTAATCCAAACCAACAAACCTCTCAGTTAGTCTATTCTACTTCAATTAACAATGTTGCTACATTTTCCAGAAAGCCAGTCAATAACTGCAAGAGCCACTTACATATTGAACTTCCTATAAAAAGCTGGATACTGTGGGCAAGAGACCAATTAGTCTGTAAAAACCACTAATGTTGAAGTGAAATGGAAAACTATTCTTTTAAAAGACAGTTTTATAGATTAAATGACTGACTCTCTGAGCTACCACAAAGGATCCAGCGAGAGCAGCTGTTGCCAAGGAAAGTACTACCTAGCTTCTGTTCATGGGGCCACAGTCCGGTCCTACCTTGAGGATCCCCTTGTGGCTCAGCAGCAGATTGGACGTCTTCAGATCGCGATGGAGGATCCAGTTGTCGTGGAGATGTCGGACACCTCGCAGCAGCTGGATCATCAGAGTCTTCACTTCACCTGAGAGAGAAACTTTGTGTTGAAACTCATTTTTATCCCATTCAACTTTCTAGTTCAAGTGTGTAGCAGCGTCTCATTGTACCTGGCAGGAAGGGCTGCTTCATGGTTTCCATCAGACTCTTCAGGTCATGTTCTACATAGTTCATCACGATGTAGATCTTGTCCATATTACTTCCAACAACTATTTCCTAATATAGGGGGGAAAGCAAAGTTTAGAGTTAGTTGAACACTTAAGGACACACAATAAAAGTGTTAATACTAAGATTGAATATCTCTCACCCTCACTGTGACGATGTTTGGGTGCTGAGCTTTCAGGATTGTATTGATTTCTCTCAAAGAGGTGATGGGGAAGCCCTCCTTCTCCTTCTCCATCTTCAGCCTTTTCAGGGCCACGATTTCATCTGCCAACACGAGGCAGTACCCATTATTTTTAACGATAAACACAACGAGAACCCCAACAGTATTTGGACCTACGTGTTTATGTTCATACCCGTCTTTTTGTCCTTGGCTCGGTACACCACGCCGTAGGTTCCCTCTTCTATTCGGTTCAAGCACTGGAATTCCTCAACACTGCGACAACCCTGACAAAAATCAACAACCTCTGATTGAAGACCTCGACATACTGCTAGATCGCATTACATGCCAACATCAACACATTTTGGCCAGAATAGCATTTGCATTATGTTGTTGCCGACCTGTAAAGCAGGCAGATATTTGGGAAGCTCCTTCTTCAGCTCCACAGGTGAAATCGGGGGCGAGTCTGGGATGTAGTTCTCTTCGGGGGTGGGGGAGCGAGAATGAGTTTGAGACTGAGGCGTGGGGTCGCCCTCTCCTGCCGTGTCCTCCCCGTCTTCATCTTCCTCCATGTCCTCACCGCTCTCCTCGGAGTCGTGATCGAAGCGGGACTCTGTCACTGTGAGGCGGAGAGGAAAGTCAGTTTAGTTTAAAACACTTGTCAGACTAACCGTTGAAATGTTTTTTATTTGCACTTATCTTAAATAATAACGATTCGATCTAGCTGATCAGAATAACTTTTAAGAAATACATCTTTATATTCCCAGATATCACATACCTGCAGGTACGTGATTCCCATTTTCCCTCTCATCTTCAAATTCCTCCCCTGACTGCTCGTCCTCACTCACGTCCTCTGAAAGGGAGGAAGGGAACAGTTAAAGCTGTGTTTCTCCGTAACAGGCTGTTCACCAGAGCAGTGGAACAGCGGTTTTACCTGCGCTGTGCTCAGACCTTCCTGAGCCTGAAATAGACTCTCCTTCCTCTTCTTCGACCTCACTCTGGCTGCTGGACTCGTCTTCGTCATTGTCGTCCTCTTCGTCAGAGCCTGATCCTGATCCTGATGCTGGAGAAGGTGAATGATACGAGAACAGTTTTTTTTTAATATTTTAAAGCTATTTAATGCAGATATCTGCTGGCTCATCCCCTTCTTGTTAAGTTCAAAGCTATATGTTTTTAGAATTGTTTTAATGTGATTTTATTTATGTTTAATGACTTTTTGTTTGTTTAAGCCTGTGATTTAGAATGTGTTTCTTTGATGTGTGTGTTGAATCAGAATCAGAAATCCTTTATTCGTTCTAACGTAGAATGTGATGTAAAATGGCATTTGTTTTTGTGTGAAAGCACTTGCCAAGGTGCAATATAAATAGTGTATTATTTGTATTATAATTAATGACTGACATAAATGAGGAATAATTCAGTTTCCATTGAAAATGTCCAATCCAAAAAGTAAGAAAGAGTAATTGGAAATTATAAAGTATTTTGCAGTAAAATATACATGTGTGCTTTGCTTTAAGTGTAGGTGAACTAGTCCTTTACCCATGGAGGACTCTCCTGAGCTGGTCTTCCTCTCGCTGCCGCTGATGTCCTGGAGGTCTGCCAGCGGATCTTTGCCCTCCGGCTTCTCCTCCTTAGAGGCTGCAGGCGTATGAGACGATGATGATGATGATGTCGGGGAAACTGAGTCATTGTACATGATACAGTTTAGAATATCATAGAAGCATATAAGGGATTTTTGAATTGTTTCTTGTTATATAGAAATTGTGACTTTATCTACTTACTTCCACTCTTCCTGGGTTCGCTGAGATCTGATCTGTCCCGGGGAACGCGGGGGGGACTTCGGCTGCGGTGACTTTGTTTTGACTTGTCATCATAATCTTCAGGTAATAGCCTATGGGCGGACGGCACTGCGGATAGGATAGATTCATTTTTCAATGAGTCCTGCATCATAGTTCACAGAGTAATAGGAAAAATACACATTTCTTATCCGTTGTTTTCGCCTTCTGTGTGTTTGTGTAGCCCACTTCTCTTTCATCTCAGGCTCTCCTTTTTGATCTTGATGCTCTCCATTTTGATTTTCTCCATTACGTAAGACACCATTATTTATTCTACCATCCTGAATTCCCCTACTCATCATATTTGTTTATGATTTCAGCCTAGGTCAGTTTCTAAGTCATTTTGAATGATGTCTCAATCATGCTTGTCCTTAGCTACCAACTCCATCTCTCATAATCTCCATCCCTTAGCATTATACCATTATTCTCTCAGTTTCTGTCTTTGAACTCAAGGATCCAATTAGCAGGACATTTCACAGATAAACAGTTAGCGTATGTGTTTCTGAGCATTTATGCTTTCAATGGTTAGGGTTGTAATTTAATCTATCCCAATACACACAAAAATATCCCACACCTCTACTCATTCACCGACCTTCTCGCCGCCCCCCTCGCTCTTTGCGCCGCTCCTCCGCCCTCCTCTCCCGCTCTTTCAGCTCCCGCTGCTCTTTCTGCTGTTCGCGCAGCTTCCTGTCTCGCTCACGCTGGCGCTCCTGCTGTTCCAGCCGGTCCCTGTGGTCCAAAAAAAACCCAGGAGAATCCAATCGGGGTCTGTTCAGACAACCAAAAGCCCAATCTTGTCAATGTGTGTTTGTGTATGTATACACTAGATGGCAGTTTGGAGAAACAGACATGAGTAACGGCATGAAGTAAAGCGATGTGTTGCTGAGGGCAGGGCAGCAGCCAAATGCTTTTCAGCCACCTAAAAAAGGCCAACCTAACAAATTCAACATCAGTTTTTAAATACGCTATAAATACAGTTTATTTTGCCACGTTACCTTGCAGTGAGACAGACCTTTCTGACTAGGTACTGAAGCTGTTATGCAGCTCTCTTTGAAACAGAGCTCAGAACATGGAACAATCTGTACGTTTGTTTATGTTTATTTGTGTATTTTGTTTGAATTTGTCCTTAGCACAATTACAAAAACAGACATAATTATTCAGGCAGCAGCAAAAACCACGCTTTGAAATGTTTAATTACCGTTTTTTGTCAATGGAGTCTGATGGTATTAAAGAGAGATTAGATAACGGCTTCAGTTCCTCGTTGGAAAGGGCTGTCTGACTGCAAAGTAAAGAGGGGAAAAAAAAATCTAAATATAGCCAACGATTAAACAGATATTGATTCTTTTAGGTGGGACTTTTTTTAGCTCCTAAAACATTTTGCTGACCGCCCAGTCCACAGTACTACATTGCATACTTCTGTGCTGGTTCTCCTGTTTGTTTCTCCAACTGGGGGCCTGCTATAAAGTACCATGTGCACCCCAAATTCCAACAAACTGAACTCTTTAAAGTTTGTCTCTCAGATACATTCACTGCTATACTCATCAATAATATTGGAGAATTGTTGGGAGTCCATTTCAATCTGCATTGTTTACGTAGAATATATATATATTTTTTAATATAAATACACCTGCAATTTAGCCACCTGGACTTGAGTGAGAAACTTTCAAATAAACTATGACCAGTACATCACACACAGTACATGTAAATCCACAGTACAGTAGCTATACAATTGAAAGACAGTAGTAGATAAATAGAAAATTCTCATGTAGCTCAATCATTTTAACATCCTGGCAAGTTGAATTCTTACTCCAACAAAACCTTCAAAAACATGAATCCTAATTAAACTCAAGTGAAAATCAAAAAGGGCAAATACTTCTGTGCCTGAATTAATCCGAGCTAATCTAATATGTGGTGCCTTTCCAGGTGAGATGCTCACCTCTCTCTGCGCGAGTGAGCTCTGGCCTGCTCCCTTCGTTTCTGCCTCTCCCAGTCTCTCCGGGCTTTGTCTTCTTCCCACTGACGGTTCCTGCGGTCGCTTTCTCGCTCTTTTTCTTTCTCTTTGGGTCGAACATGTTTCCCTGCTGTAGAAGTAAAAGAAACATAGTTTTGAGGAGATCCTTACTTCAAAAATAGTTCCAAACATGTTGGATTCAGGTGTTCACGACGCTCGTACCTCCTTCAGCAGAGTGACTGCGGTGACGTCTTTTATCTTTTCTCTTCTCCTCCTTTCTGTGGTGAGACTTGTCTTTTCTTGCTATTTGCTGTGGTGGCTTGATTGCTAATGAGTCATCTTCTTCGGCCCTGCATAGATATAAAAGAAAAACATGTCACACATGATTTGAATTTAAACTATTGCAAGCATACTACTTCCCCTGTGAAAATACACATATTTGTGTACTACGGTTTATGTACCTGTCTTCTGTTGAGTCCTCCCGTGTGTACGGGGAATTACGAATTGTTATTTCCATCTTTTGATCCCGTAGTTCTCCTTCCTCCGGGGTATCTCGTTTGGTCTCCCGATCATCCGACTGTGGAACAAGGCCCTGAGAGGACTGTGCAAGACAATAAGAGCGGTATAAACAGTCTGAACCCTTATTCACCTATGACTATGTTTAAGGATTATAGTTTGTCGTGTGCTGCCTTCTGTGTGTACATGTTTGCAGCTGTTTTTCAGGAAATGTTGTTGGAAGCGAAATATTGGGATTCAGCCTTTAACCGTTGATTCCCAGCAAATGGACGTAAATACACAAGACATACACTCGCCTATTGAAAGACTCGTACTACTTGCCAAAAACAAGGGATGTTTATGACAAACACTTGTAAGCACCTTCATTTGAACGACTGCGGGCTCAGAAGTTTTGTAAACTTTGACAGATAACATGCTGTTTGATTATGGTGGTAATCGAAAAGATGAATTTTCCAAAATTGTGGTTAAAGCACATTTGAAATTTAGCTAACACTATTTAATGTTTTCAAAAAGTAAATAATTACATTAAAGATATTTATTGTTCCCAACAGAACTGTTACTTACTTTAAGTATTAAAACAGCATTTCGAGAATATGACATTAAAGTCTTCTATAAAAGCAAAAAGTAAGTCATAGATATTACAATGATAAGACAATGTTTTGAAGCTTTGACTTATTCAATACGATTTTCCATATATTTTATTGATTATTAAACTTACCATTTTAATGTATAACTTCTACAGCAAATAAAAGGCAGAAAGGGAAAAAATGGCTTGGAGTTACAATTTGTTTAATACTGTATCAACATGTAAGGGGCAATGTTGGTCAAACATAAGCTTTAAGGTACTTTACATTTTTCTGGTGCTTGGGATCCGTTTTCTCTTCTAATTCTCTTCTGCGTTTTTTTTCTTGTAGGATTTCGTCAAGAGTTTTAACTTTCCAGGTCTCCTTTTCGTCCCCCATCAGCGTCCACTCTCCACCGCCTGCTCCACATCACACAAAAACAAGGACACATTAGATATAACTTCAGCCTTCTTTGAATATGAAGAGTTAGGCCTATAAAGAATAAAATAATCCAATATTTTTATATCAGATCCATTATCTATTTGTTGGAATATGCTTTAACATTTTACTTTCTTGTTAAATATGTGAAACATTTTGAATTAACATTCAATATTTGAGATTATGAGGTCTTCTTGTAAATCGCAAGTTATTTCCTAAATTGAGACGTATAAAAACGTAAAGGTACTGTAATGATTATACCCGTGCGGTGCTATTCCCAATGCTGCCCCACCGAAATAAACGTACAACATACCAAACACAGCAGATGTAGTCATGTTAGCAAACATTATAATCGCATACGAATAATTCATGCATGTTGCTTATCTGTCACTGTGTCCTATTATCTGTGTTGTTCAACTCACGCTAACTACACGGTACATCACAACAGCATGTAGCATTTAGCTAGCTAACATTAAGAGGCCAATTGACGTTGCGAGTAGACTTAGTTAGCCTGCCAACATAGTTAGGGTTTTGTCATACATAAACCAGTGTGTGTATAAGGCGAAAATGATAGACGAGTGTATTACTTCTGACTGTGAATGTTGTGAGTCCAGCGGCGGGTGCTAACACATTAGCTAACTATAGCTAGCTAACACTAGCATGGTCGACAGTTGCTAAACAACTTCTGAAGCTAACAAGGTGATTTCAACGGGATAGTTAGTACAGCTGGTTAAGCTCTAAACTGGGGCATACATGTCTGTATTGGTTTGTGAAGTTAAAGACCTGAGTACAGAAAATAATGAAATGAACCAGCGAGCAGATGAAATGGTTAAACAAACCTGAAATACGCGCAGCGGTATTATTATGGCACACCGGAAGTCTCAACGCTAAGTAACGTCTCTAAAACGTCCGATGTGAAACAATGACTTCCCTCTGATATAATACAACATGATAATATGATATAATAAAACCATACAAGAAAAATACAGCATCAAGCTTCTCGGTGCTTGTAAGGAAAAGTTACTTTTACATTATGTATTTCAACGTCAGCCTCATAGACTGTGTATGATCAAAGACACAGAGAAGGCCTCCAAAGGTCCTTTGAAGACTCAAATTGTTCAAGGAAAGATTGTAACCCTTCCCTTTTTACTAATTAAAACATTTTGAAGTAATACAAAAACATTGCTTTCTCAAAACCCAGAATTGTTCTCCTTTCTGAATTTCGCAAATGGCAGCATTATGTATTTTGTATCACAGCAGCACATTATGGAGCCAAGTGGCTTCTGTTGTGACACTTAATCAGTGGTGTTAAGTAAGTACATTTACTCAAGTACTGTACTTAAGTACAATTTTGAGCTACTTTTACTTTACTTTAGTATTTCCATTTTATGTTACTTTGTAGTTCTACCGGAGTTCTACTCAACTACAATTCAGAGGTAAATAATACACTTTTACTCTTACTTACCTTTTCGTTACTTTGCAGGTATAGATTAATGATCAACACTTAAATAAGACTTCAGTTACACCTGGATTAAATTCAACAGCTAACCAGCAATACATTACGTAATTTAAGTTAGTTCCACCTTTATCAACTAGATAAACACATCAATACATAAATAATTATAATCAAAACATATAATATATATGGTTGTGATTGGGCCAATTTGCATAATGAGTACTTTTGATACTTTACGTATATTTAATGCCAATACTTTTGTAATTTTGACATTTTGATTGTAGGACTTTCACTTGTAACAGAGTATTCCTACACTCTGATACTTCTACTTTAACTTAAAGGGGACCTATCATGCAAAATGCACTTTTGTACGTCTTTTATACATGAATATGTGTCCCCGGTGTTCCAGGGAACTCACCAAGTGTCAGAAAACACAACCCTCTCTATTTTCCTCCATACCCACATCTCTAAAAAAGGGGCTGCAACGGATCTGATACAGACTGATCCAGATTTGAACACTTCTATGACGTCACAGAAGTGGCGCTACGGCTATTGGGCCAACTCTCCAACTATCAGGGGAATGTGGGGTTGGGCCACGGCCGGCCATTGCCGCTCGAAAGCGCTGGAGACGCTGTAGTACATATGCCAGGCCTGTAAGTGGCGCTGTAGTCTGCCACAAAAGCAGCGAAGAAGACTTCCCGCCCATAGTTACCATGGTTACCCTTCTGTTTATTCTCCGCTGTGGCTTTTTTTCTCCCTCCCCGAGGCAAGCGTTTGCTCCCGCTGCTTTAATTCAATGCAATCCCTCCCCGTCGAGGCAAGCACTGTAATTCTCTCCGGTTAGTCCCCAGCAGATGACAAACACCCACCTCTCCGCCTCTTCCAAGGAACGAGGGGACCGTGCGGCAGAGTTTCAGTTTCAGTTTCTTTCGCCGGTCAAGATGTCCGTTAAAGTTTAAATCTTCCGGTCAAAATTAGAAAAGTGCCGGTCAAAGGTCTTCTTTGTTATTTAGTGAGCTTTAAAACAAATGAATAACGACTCTATATAATAAAACACGGAGGACGGAGATCTTTTTTTCTCCCCCTCTTGACCAGTGGCGAGCCGTCAGGGCCCTCTAGGCCCTCTGTGAGGGCCTAAGATATTCCAAAAAATAATATTTAAAAACATTAAAAAAAAAATATATTTTTTTAAAATATATATTTTTTTAATATTATTTTTGTTATATTTTTCATTAGTTTTACCCATAGACTGTATATATAAATGGACGTAGGGTCCGTGACGTCACCCATAGGATTCTGCAGAGTTGCCGAGAAGCCCTCGACAGTGACGTCTGAGTCTAACTCCCGCCTGCTACATCCTGCTCCAAATAAGGGCAAAGAGGCGGAGCCGAGGCGGGACCTTCTGCCTCCAGCTGGGAAGTAACAGAGCTAGCTCAAGCTAAGAAGCTAAGCTAACATGCTTCCCCATCAGCACACTGCCGTCACATTTTACGTTTCTAAGGTAAGCGGACATGAAACTATTCAGCAAAACTATAAATAATAATCTAAGTTATTGAGTTTTTAGCATAATACTTCAGAATCTTAAAATCCCTTAACGTTTGTATGCAATGTGCTAAATGCAACACTGGAATCAAGCAAATATTAATATGTTTGCATGACATTAGTTATTTATATTTTGCTATCACTTAATTATACGTTTAATACATTTAAGTTAAGCTAAGGTGCATGTGATGGTAGCTAGTTAGTGCTCTTACCTGTGAGGCCTCCTCCAAACAGCATTATAACCAGACTGTATCATTACAACTATAAGTACCAGTTCTAGATCCTTGACTTTAGACAAACAATTCAAAAGACAAAATGTATTTAAAGACCAATCTTTATTTTAAGGTGCCTCTTAACCTGGGATATTAGTTATACAGTAATAGTATTGACAATCTAAAAAAACTGAGCAACTCAACAGTCAACTTTATATTTCTTATTGTCTAAAGCATTTATTATTTTCATTTCCCCCTCATATTCAGTGTGGACGGATTGAGACAGCGTGGTGTCCAGAGAGCTGCAGAGACTTCAGGGAGAAACCTCCGTGTGATGGACGTCCTGTCTGTTGGTTTGGCCGGAGAGGACTGAGGGTCTTTCCTCAGCGAGGAGGACCAGGCCTGATGGAGGAGCCCATGCATAGCTGATACCACCTGATCAGGCCTAGTCTGTCACTTTATTTGACTAAATGTGTTTACTTATACATTTAATAGGTTTACACCTTCTGTCCATATGTGCTTTTTTATTTAAAACATGTTTGATTAACTTTTGGTTCAGATTTCAATAAATTGAATTTGTATTTGCACCCCTTTTGTCCATTATTCTTACTGAAAATGTTAGATTACACATTCACATCTGACTGAAGATTGGCCCCATTTATTTGCGTTGCAAACTCTGCGGTACAAGGTACATGTTGTGAAGCTCATAAAGTGAGGCAAATAGAATTAATCAGCTGATGGAGTGTAGATGTGGAAATAGGTGCATTCGATCAGCTGACTTCACAATAAAAGTAGTTTCTTAGTGAATGTCCTGTACTGGTCTTAAAATCTCATAACAATAGCTTTTAATTTTCCTATTGGATGTTCTTCTTGACCCTCAGAGAAGGAGAAAATGTTGAGTCGTGTCTTTCAGGCATGTCCTTTCCTAACAAAAATTACAGGAAACATAAAACATATTATTGCAGAACAAGTGTGTTATTTATGAAAGAGGTGTGTTTGTGTTTAGGGGCTGTAGATATAATTATTTTGTAATTGTAATGTTTTATTTTATTTCAACAGTGAGCTACAAAGACAATCAGATTATGAATGAACAGTATGAAATTCATCAACATTGAAATATATTTTATTATCAAAATAATATTTAACTGTTATCAAAACTTAGTGCAACTGTAGAAGCTTGCTCTGTTCTCTCACTGAAATCATAACTTTTACCACGTTTTTTACAGACAATATTGAGAGATAAATAGCAGTTGTCACTAATAGCTTTGCCTTCAATACCTTAAATTAGAAAGCTGACAGTCATATTGCTTGTTAACATCTAAATGTAACTCTTTGCATGGAAAAAACCCTCAACTTCACTGATGTGTAGGTGATCTAGTATTTAGTATTGTTTAATGGAATGTATATCAGTGTATTAAAGTCAATACTTCATTTATTTAAACCAATATCTTTCTTGATTCTTTGTACAGTATGAAAAAAGAGTATTTGTACCTGTGCTGAAGTTCACTGCTGTGAGGAGTCCAGTTCTGTCTCTCACTCTCTGGTCCATCCTGTCTGCATCACCTGGAAACTTTAAACAAACCGATATATATGTAAAGAACCATGTGTACAAACAATATAACTTATTCTCTTCTGTTGAACATGTTGGATTGTGTATTGTCCGAGTCAGGGTTCTTTTTATTTTACTGTAACTTTGGAAGTTGTGTTACCAATGCTGTTGTGTTACTGTTTATTTGATACCAATTTGGTAATGCACATTTCCTGCTGAAATACATGCATACCAAGTTACTGCGTGGCACTTTGGTTTTGATAAAACAGTGTAGTTCCACTATATAAACGTTACATTCATAATCAAACGAGACAATCTGCAAGATAATGAGCTATTTGTTGTTATTTTTAATGCTTGTCCTTCACACGTTAATCAAATAAAATAAGTACCGATACATAGCAGAACAATTGTGGCGATGTTCAGCTTAATAAGCCTTGTTCAACATAATTTATTTAGCTAATACTACAGCGGGCTGCAGGCGAACCAAGTCTGCGTTTCGCTGCATTCCTTGATCTCCAGTTATAATGCCGGACTCCGCCGCCGGCCGAAGCTAACGGAGCCGCCGGGACGCGCTAGCGAGCTAGCCCCCTGCGGCTCCGTTAGCTTCGGCCGGCGTGGACTCCGGCGGCCACCACTGGGATAATTGGGTCCCCTTTTAACATTTGCTCCCGTTTAGCATTATGGGCGTCACAGCCATATACTATAAAATGCTGAATCATAAACTAAACTGTATATATATATATATACACATGTATAAAGGGTTGCGTCCTTAGCTGGCTAATAAGCTACATAATAAGCTACATAACAAGCTAAACTAACAAGCACACAAACACCTGCTAACGGGATTAACATGTATAATATTATCATTTTACTCACCGAAAAAAGCTGAGAGTAGACTTCTTGGAAGGTCTGTTAGTACATTCAAGCGCACAGCACTACATTTCAATTGTCTGGTATTTGTAACAATATTCCCTAAAAGGCACAATCACCACGAACACGGCTAAAGGGTCAAGTACAGCAACTACATCTAACTAACGTTGTAGCCTAGCAGAGTGGACAAATTGCTGTTAGCTGACAGTGAGGCACGTACCTGTCCATCAAAGTGACCACGCCCTAATTTATGCA